AAGTAGAATTACAGCAACATTTGAACCACTGATTATGAATGTGTGTGTATAAAGACTGATTCTCCACTTCTTTAAACCTTACATTGTTATTTATAGCTGTGTAAAGTGTAGGGGGTATAATATAGTACTGAACTGAAAACTTTACGATGCTTAAAGGAACAGAATAGGGTGGACTGATTCCAAACAAATATTGGCTGCCACTGAAATGTTTAGCAAACTGCTGATTTGAGGATCTAAAACTGGATCACAAATAGCAGATGGTGCCAGAATGCAGACCCTCCCCAAAAATCATCTTGTGCAGGAAGTCTATATGTTCAATATAAATGTATATGGGTACATTTTCAGAAGGACTATGTATTTTGTTTTGTGGATGCAAGCTTCAGCTGCAAAATTTAATTGTAATTAAATTCTTGCTCTTTCAGTTACCAGAATGAAAGTGAATATCAGGCAGAGAGGAATCAGAACTCATGGTAGAAGTGATATCTTTTATTAGACCAACTAGATTTTTTGGGGGGAAAAAATCTTTAATTGCAAGCTTTCAAGCACAAGTTCCCTTCCTCAGGCATAGGCAAAAAGATTGTAAAAGTTCCCCCAGGTAGAAATGAAAGTTCATATTTCATATCAGGCAGAGAGAATCATAAAAAAACCTCAAATTATCTTTGCAGTTCATTTTCCAGGTGTAAAGGGAGGACATAATTTTGGAGAGTCCAATATGTGTGCCCACAAAAAAGGAGACTGGTACTCAACACAGCTGATGCTATACTTCACACTCAGAGGTCTACACATGCCCTCTGGCGCCATTGTTACTGCACTGTCATTTAGTACCTCCTTTAAAAAGAAGTCCTAAATGATAGCGCAAAAACAGTCATTACTGTGCCATGCTGGCAGTGCATGGTTATTTTTAGCTGCTATGTCACTGTAGCAACGTACTATAGTGAGGGAGCACATGGGTATGGCATCACGGTTTGTTCCTACCAATGCTATGTCGCCATAGAGCATTGTTATGGCGATGTAGCATCTCAGGAGACGTGCCTACCATGTGCACGTAGCTATGTGGGAAAATACTGTTTTTTTCTTTTGTTTTGTTTTGATGGGTTTGGGTTTTTTTAAATCAGGTACCATAGATATTTCAGGTGAACAATGAAAATGGTACTTCGGTGAGTAAACTTTTTTGTTTCTATGGTACTTGCTAAAATGAATACCCCAGGTAAACAGAGGAACAGATTTATGTTAAAGTTTCCTTTTCTTCTCCACACACAGATTAGCTTGTCCATAAGTGAAAAAAAGACTGAAAACTCCCTAGCCCACAAATGATTTTGTGTGGTCTTAGCTAACCATATCAGCATACAAAAAATTAAGCTAACATAAAAGTATCCAACAGAGTCAAGTGAAGCTGAAAATAGCTTAGTTCAAATCAAACCAACCAGCTTCTCAGAGGAGTTCACTTGAGTCTACAGCCATGCACAGGGATTCATTTCTAGTGGTAAGAATTTCTGTCAAGCTGGAGTGTATGTGGGTCCAGCCCCCCAGCTGGAGAGCTACCCACGTGAACTCTTCAGCCAGGGGGCACTGGAAGGCTGTTCCTTGGGTCACCCCAGGCCATAAGAGCTCCCTGATCAACAGCCTGCCCTCTCACTTGGAAGAGAAGCGGGCAGGTTGTCAATAGGCAGTCTGGCAACTGGAGGTGTGGGGAAGAGGGGCCGGGGAGACGCTCCCTAACCCCAGTACTCAGCCTGTTGGCTTCAGCTGTAACGTGTACGTGTGTGAGAGAGAGAGAGAGAGAGAGAGAAGTGATCATTGTGTATTATCTTTCATCTTTAGTGTATGCAGAGTACATTGCTTTCAAAAGGAAAATTAGTCACTCAGGAAGCAGCAAGGAACCAATTGACACAACTCTTGCATAACCAGATATTTGTAGGTTTCAACAGCACCTTTTAGACCTTGGAGCATCTTTTGTGTTCATAAAACCTGTGAAATCTGGAGGGTTTAGAACAATAAGAGGCAATCTTTTTGGTTGGCGTGCCCCAAATTAGCCTCAGACCCTCCCAGAGTGCCATTCTTATCCCCTTCCCTTTCCTGATTGGCTTCCTGTCCTATCTGCTGCTCTTGTTTTCTACTCCCTGCCCTATGTGCCCCTGTACTGCCTGCCTTCTTTCTGGTCTGCCACCTGCCACACACACAGGCTGCCCACATCACTTGTGCCATGCATGGTGCAGGTTGGTATATCCCTGGTTTAGAAAATTCACAGCATTGACTGCTCTGCTGTTTGCATGTTTGTTTTTACCCAACAGAGCTGCTTTTATATAGCAGGATGTCAAGTACCTTGTATTGTCATGCATTGATTTCCAGACCGTCCATGATCATCCATGTAATGTGTTTGCATTATTACTGAATGTGGCTTTTGCATCTGAAATATAAAATAAACATTTTCTCTCTCAGTAAGCATCGGTTGTGAGATTTCAGGCAGCGTGCCAGTCTTGGGGAAAGAGTTTTGCTGGTTTTCTTACACTTGTGCTCAGAGCTGTGATTTTAGGTGGGGGAGGGAAGGGGGAGGGAAGAAAAAGGAAAGTTAGCTTTCCATCACATTTAATTGGCCTGTGGAAAAAGCAGAGGTTTCATTTAAGATTTATAAACAAATACGCCATTATGTTTCTCATTAGTTGGAAGAATACCTGTATAAGTGGTAGCTGTCAGATACAATAAGCACCCCCTCCCTTTTTGCTTATATAATAATCCCAGCTTTCAAAAGACTAATCACTACACGCTGATCTACAAAGCATCTTATTTCCTCATCAAATTTCCTTGCTGGGCTTAGCCATGCTTGTCAACTTCCCAGGTCCCTTTTTCAATAACTGGTTTATTCTTAGCATCTTGCCAAGAAGCATTCCTAGGAGTAAACCACGGAAGAATGAAGTTCTAATTTCTTTATCTCACTCAAGGAGAGCTTTCTGCTCATGCTCATGGGAAAGGTCACAGGTAATTTTGGCTGCTAGTTTGCTTTAGAAGAGCAGGCATGTACAGCACATTGGGGTCCTTTGTCTGAGAATTCAGATGACCACCAAAGATGACAAGAAAGAGAAAAAGAGAGAAAGAAAGAGAGAGAGGAAGAGAGAAAGGAAGGAGTGAGCAGGCAAGCTAATGTGCAGTATAAGTAAGCAGGTTATTTTAATCTTAGAGTAAGTAGCCTTTGTTCGGTTTTAGCTTGGAGTCGCATTTAAAAGATTCTTATTTTCTAAGCTTGTTTCCCTCAAAATCTATGGGGTTAAAACAAAAGATGCCTGAAGACAATGCTATTTTTAACTGCTTTCAATCAGGCCTTGTCTTAAAGAAATAAAAATGAGAGTTTAGTTCTTATAAAAAGCCCCAATTTTATAACAAGTCTTCTCCTTATCCACGTGCAACCAAACGTTTTATGTTAGGCACTAATTGCAGCATTTGCCTACAGGGTCAACATAGAGCTCAAAGATGAAAACTGATCTACTTTCTGACCTCTAGATGAGGTCTCTGTGGTGTAACTCTGCTGAGATCCTGAAAGGAGAACCAGGGCAAACCCTTGCAATCCTCAGTCTGAACTCCACACTACATAGAAATTAGGCACTAGGTAGGCATACTGACAAACAATGGTAATGAATCCATTCTAAAGACTACAGTTTCCAGTGCAACCATTAAAGCACCATTCACCAGCACCACTTTCTTTATAAATTTAAAAATAAATACACTGGGTGGAAAGTATACATCACTAGAGATTCAGAGTGAAATGAAGTATTTTTTTTACATTCTCAGGACAAACTAAATACATTCTTTGGGATAGAACCCTTCATTTGATTACTTGTGAGATCCTTGTTATCCCTCTATTGTGAAGGGATGTAAAGGTAAACAGGTTCTGGAACTGCACAGTGGCCATGTCTACATGAGACGCTGATTACACAGTTGTTACTGCACATTCATTTAGTACTTGTCTAAACAGTAGTGTCACCAAACAGCTTTTTCGTGATGCTGACTGTGCAGTAGCCCAAGACTACCATGCAGTAACGTTGCATCACGTGGCAGGAAGCATGACATGATACTATTGCATGGTAGTCTCAGGCTACTGTGCAGTCAGTGTCACAAAAAAGCCACCTGGCAATGCTACTGCATAGTAACTCCGGTCAGCGTCTCACACAGCCAGTATTCCCTATTCTTGGCTAGTCCTTTATATTCATATTTATGTCCATATCCTTTATATTCATATTTGTCCATAAAAATAATACTAAAAGTAAAGTGGACATGTGACATACAGCTTTCCACCAATATTAGCCAGTCCATTCCTGGGTAAAGTTGCCCTTCATAAAGTGAGGAGTAACCATACAATGGGTAACTGAAAACAGTGCATTGGTCACATGCCTGCTCCCATAGTTGATTTCATCTCCAGAATTTGCTCAATAAAAAAGAGATACCTAGGTACCTAGTGGCCAGACACTGTAATCCTACTATAAACAGCCAGCTTGCAAGAGCTGTGTTTGCTATGCAGTGAAATCTGGGGTATATCATGGGGTAAATCATGTTGTATGGCCACTGTCTTAGAAAGGCTAAAAACACATGTTGGATTTCTCCCAGGAGAAAGCCTTCTGTCTTGAGATTCTACAGATGTACAAGCCCATTGTCCCACTTTAGATGCCTGTGAGGTATACGAGACAAAATAAGCTAACACTTTTTCTTGGGACAATCATGGCTTATTTAAGTCACACTGCCTTTCATTCTGGGGACAAGCTTCCTGTGTAAATGACCATGCTGCTCTTTTTCATCCCAAGCTTTGACTGGGATCACCCAGAACTGCTTCACATGCAAGGTTTGCTTTTAGCCAAAGATACCAGTCTGAATGAAAGATTCCAAGTGACGCAGCGTAAACGCGTGGCTCTGCTGAAGTCAACAACAAAACTGATGTCTGTACCTTTCAGTCCCTAGATTGTTATTGGCTTGACTTTCAAGATTAAAGACCCTCCTATTCCCAGATATCTTCCTCCACAAATACTTCAAAAGGTTCTAATTCTAGGTTAAATACAGAAGCCAGGATTTGCAAATGAATGTTGAATGTGGCCAATGATTTCTTCCATCCTTACATAAAACCCTTGGCACGTAACCCTGACGTTCAGATGCTAGCAAGGTCACAGGAGAAGTACAGAGATGTTCTAAATCTTTTTTTTTTTACCACCTTTAAACTCATTCACTGACCTTTCCCCAAATCCCTACACTAGCATCACACAAGGAAGTTGTACGCTATATTAAAAGCTGAGTGGCTAGCTGCATGCACCTATAACAAAATTTGCTACTTTCCATAGGCCAAGACTCATTGAAAGCACCAGATCCCTTTCTATTGTCTCCTATGGGCCTTTGGATTAATACTTATTACTTACCTATTTTATTGAGCACAAACTAAGAATATAGTCACTATCAGTTATCTGAGTAGTAAGTAAAGGTGTTGGGCTGGTACACTTTTAATGGCTCCCTTTATAAAAACAAGACAGATGTATAAAAAAAATCACCATGTCTGCTTTTTTACTAGGATGGGCCTAATGATATAGAAAGCCAAGAGGTGGAGTAAATTTGTTCACAGAGCATGCATGCATGTGTGCCTGGTATCTCACATTTATTCTGGCTATTGATTTATTCAAAAGGTAAAAAATGGTGCATACAGGTTGCTTTCCCCAGGGTGAGATCAGGAAAAAGAACAGTGGGGAGACAGAACATCTACTGCACAGCCAAAGAGCATTCTCACTGTTCTCTCTTGTTCTTATCTCCTTCTCAGGTTACTGTATTTTCTGTCCCACTCATGCCATCGCAGGAGTGCTGAAGAGTGGTGAGATAATACTTGGCTCAAATCCAGGCAATCATTTTTGAGTAATTAGCTTAGATACTGCACACCCAACCTGTACTTTTTTCAGGTAGGTATCAAGTGGGTCGGGTTACCTGATTACCTGTCTGTATTTGGATGGCTGTGCTGCAGGGTTCAGTAAAAGCTCGTCTCCAACTGTGGACAGAGAACATAATTGAACATGTAGGTTTCTTCTGGGAAATCTGTTTTTGCTACAACTCTGTTGTTTCCCTCTGCCAGCTCTGCTATAGGTGGGACGTTTGTTATTTTTCCACTCCCTTACATGATCAACCATGACTTGAACACTTCCAGTGCAGGAGCAAAACTTGCCATACACTCATCTCAAAAGCTAACAATAATTCTGAGGCTACAAATGTTTTCTTTAGCAATTTGTTTATTTGCAAAAAAGCAAAAGAAAACCAAAAAATCCCAGGCACAGAAAGGGATAAACTGAAAAGCACAAACGATCTAATACATTTTTCAGATGGCCAATTAGGTTTTCAAAGGCACAAATGGTAATTAGGCACCTAATTCCCTTTGATATCTGTGCTTTGGAAAAATCTCCCTCTCTCTTAAAGTGAGATCCTTGAATAGCAAGCACTGTGCAAGTACAAAGCATAATTATTACTACAATATGCTATTCACAAGCAAGGGCCTTGACATGATCAAGTTTTCTTTGCACTGATATGCCCTTTCCCAGCACTTCCTGTCTCAACTTTACCACTGCCCTGCTATCACTCTTTCCCACTCACCCATCTGGCCCATTGCCACTACGAAATTAATTCCTCAGTCAACAGTACAGGCATCACCTTACTTGCTCTTCCCCACCAGTATGCCTCATCCCTGACCTGGAGAAACCACTTCTAACAGGTGGAAGGAGTGTGTAGTCACGTTGATTTTCTCCTTGGTTTTTCTGCTGAGACTGCAAACAAGGCTACTGCTAGGTGTCAATTATAAAGGTAGCTTTTGTGATGTGTATATGTATTCACCAGGAATTGGGCTGAAGTCACTCACTGTTTCACAAAGACCACAGAACAGCTGTTAGATGCATGAGACTTTCAGTCAGTACTAACCTGGATTGGATTCAGATGGGCAACCTCAAGGTGAGTGGCTTCAGTATCCCATTACCAATTCCCTTGAGCCACCTAGTCTCTTGTAGCGAATGATCCAACTTAGGAGAGATACTTTAGGGCTAGGTTTGTTTGTTTTCATATTTAGATGCTGGTCTAGAAAGGCCTGTTAGTGCCAGAGGCCCACTGATATTCAGTTGAATGTAAACAGACTTTTTCAGACGAATTCTACCCAGGCAGTAATGTTGGATTTGCAGTTTGTATTGCTGGAAATGACAGAAAATACCAGTTACTCGTTTTCATTTCACCTAACAGATTAGCATTGCAATCAGTGCCCAGAAGGATTTGAAAAGCATCAGCTACTCAGAAGCGTAGAGCAGCCATAACCCCAAATTTCAAACAACAATTTGAGACAACAATTGAAATGGAATTACATACAAAAAATCATTTCAAGGCAAAAACAATCAAATATGTTTGCAATTATAACATGATTCATATTTGGGATATGAGGTATAAGTCACTCAGCAGAAAAGTAAACTGTGCTAATGCCATACCAATCAATAGGAATGTTTAGGATTTCAGCACTACTTGATTTCTCTTGAATAAGGCTAGATTCCAAACTGGCATAAATTGGTGTAGTTCCCTTTGAAGTCAGTGCAACAATGGTGATTAACAACAGCTGAAGTTCTGGCCCAACCCTGATTCATCACTTACTTGAATTTTAACTTCACGACACCCAAATATTTAAACATTCAAAAGACAAGAATTAAATCCCAACTATCACGAGATTATTTTTAAGCTAATGAGAACTCTTTTAAAAAAATTGTTTTTTCAATTTGCCTTTTTTTTTCTTTATAGCCCTTAGGAGGCTCTTAAGCCACATTTACAATCTTTTCTCAATAAGCAAACAGTCTAGAAATTTACCTTATCCCCTGCCCAAAGTAATCTGAGATTTTCATGTAATCACTGGACTCCCTGAGTAAGGATTTAGGAGAAAAGAAAAAAACCAAGAAGCATCATGAGACTGAGGATAAAATTGAGAGAGTTAACTCTGAAGTCTCTCTCAAGGTCCAGAGATATTTGACAGCTGTCCTGACATTCATTTATAAGAAATCATAAGGCTTAAATCTAGTCTGACATGCCATCTGTGAACTCACTGGTGAGCTGCAAGTCCAGGCAGAATCAGCCTCTTTTGCATTAAGAAAATTGAAAAATTGTAATTTTCAACAAGGAACAAAGCAAACACCTAGAACCCCTATAGCCTGGCACAACATGTCAGGGCAAAATATTCCTGTCCTCCTTGGATTAGGAATTTTCCAACTTCGTCTTTTGATTGACACGATTCTGCTGTACAAGGAGATAGCCTGCTTGCTCTAATGTCAGGAAGCTGAAGCTTTCACAGGACCTGGAGCCAGAAACCAATTTGAAGGAAATGAAAGAAGAGTGTGTGTTTGCTTAATACTCATTTAATCTTTTTCCTCAGCTTCTCAGTTGTGCTGGCTGTCAGGGTAATCAGAGCAAAGTGGAGAGGAAGAGAGGAGAAGAGAAAGGAAGGGGAAGAAGGAGAAGAAAGGAGGGGATTCCAGCCTTGCTTTCTTCTGAGTTAAAAAGGGAGCTACAAGTATCTCAGGGGACTAAGAATTATAAATTGTGCCTGCTATAGAGAAGCTAGGTTTCAGCACTGTTGGAAATTTAGTCATATTTCCTCGAAAACATTTTTACTGGCCGCTTTAAAAATGTATTTTTCAGTGAGCATTTTTGGTGATGTGTTTCCTTAGTTTTGGGCAGAAAAAACAAAAAAAAATCCCCCAAATTTGGCACCCCCTAATTATTTTTTTTTACAGAAAACACATCACATCTTTGCAAATTGGTATGGTCCTAAGAGTTCATTAATCTAAGCTCCACAATGGTTGTTTAAGAAAGCTTTGCTTGTTACCTAATAGAAAGAGTGGGCTAATGTGTTTTTGTTACCTCTGAGAGAATCAGTGCATGCAAAACTAGCATGCAGAACTCCAGGAATTTACTGAACCTTCATAAAGTGGGTATGCCAGGCATGAATGGATCTACAATTTTGAAAAAGAGGCTGCAGATAGTGAGGTGCATCATCACATAGAAAACAGCATGCATGTTTCTCTATTTAAAAATAAACTAGAAATGTACTAATATGATATGGGCATAGGGCTGTATTATTCACTTTCAACTGATGGAAACAAAACTGAAGCAATAAAATTACTTCATTGGAATGAGTTAAAAATAATCTGCAGGGCAGTGAAAGAGGGACATCATTACCAGGAGCAGCTAACAGACAGCAGAACCTGAGAACAAAGCATAACTTGATTGGTGGAATATCAAGACCATTAAAAGGAAGAGAGGGTCATTAACACCTGTGGAATGAAGAGTTTAGAAGGGATCAGGTACATTATAATGAGCCATGAAGTCAAATGACTCCCTCTGCACTCCTAGGTAGCTGGCTTTAAACTTTGAATGGAACAGAAATCAAAGTGGGAAACACGTAAATCCCTTCTGGATCCACCCCTGATGTCACCACCAAGTTGTATTGGAAGCAAAACAGAAATGAGTTTGGATGGAAGTAGTCACCTGCAGAATAGTAAAAAGATAAAATCTTCTCAGTTGGTAAAGGGTGTTGCTGTACCTGAAGTGCCGTACCTAAAGCAGAAGAATGAAACTTTAAGAGAAGATTGAACAACTTAATGGGAAAAAAACTATGTTTAAACGCACTGAGATATGACAAAATATATCACTTTGTCATCTAACCAGGTAGACAAAATAGTGCAACCAGCTACATTGACAAATCATTAGAAAACAAAGCCAGGATTTGCAGCCTGAACAAATGGAGTTATCAGTGGACTATCCAAACCTGACCAGTGACATTATGAAAACAGGAATAGAACTATCATTCTTTCTTCTTCTTTATGGAGCATTAGCAGTTGGCCTAGACTATGGAAAAGAAATAGTTCTTGCCAAAGAAGATACATTGACAAACAATAGTTACTAATTCAGTCACCTAAGGCCTATTAAAATCAATGGGAATTTTTCCACAACCTTAATGGTCTCTGGATTACGTCCCTAATGACCACTCAAGAAATTGCAAAGTGTACATCTTAATCATACAGCTGCTCCATCCAATAGAATCAGAATTTGTAACAAGTTTACCCACATATAAAATGACTGCCTAAATGTACTATGTTGCCATCCTGCTACAAGAAAACAAAAAGGGATGTAAAAACAATCAGACAGTCAGTCTGACAAACCATTCATTTCAACTCCCTGTAAAGATATTTCTCAGCTGTCTAAGATGAGTATTGAAGAGGCTCTGTCATAATAAGCTAGCTGTGAAAAAAAAAATCACTTGAGAAAAACTGATTTCACATCCTGAAAAATGCAAAACAAATAGCTGGCTACCGAGAAAAAGAACAATGCATTGTTTTAATCTCTCTACTGCCTCTGAGTGATATTTTTTCACATTAAATTAAACCATAGAAAAGCATGAGTTAAGCAAAAGTGAAAACTAGAAACAAAGTAAAATAAAAATTAGTACTAGATACAAGTATCCATCAGATTGAATATAAATAGTGTGTAAAACCAAACTGAAGCTGATAAGCACAAGTTAAACAAATGGTTTTGGGAAGACAAGGTTCTTTGGGTAAATGTGATATATTTTATTAGACCAACTAAATAGTTGGAAAATGTGTTCTTTGCAAAAAGTTTGGGGCACAAATACCCTTCTTTAGGCATAGGAACAGTCTGCTGTTGTGTTTCTCCTGGATGGAATAGAAGCCAATATGCAAAATGCAGGTCTGTGAAAATGCAAATGCCTGGCAGGGAGGATCAGAGGCAATGGGAGACAATAGGTGTGAGACAGGTAGGTGGGGGTGGAGGTGGGGAGAGAAAGGGAGGAATGTTGATCTGGTGATAAAATGTAGCTGGTAAAATGTCGAGAGGTTACTTGGGGTTACAAAAAGACTACCAAAGATTTTTTACAACATCCATTCAACATAAAAAGAATAAATGGAACCAATTACTACAGAAACGACTTTCCCAGCCACAAAACAACCATCAGAGAAACAACAGCAGTGCCTGACAGCATTCCAACCTCATACTGGATGAAACTGAAAGATCCAATCAAACCTCAGATAATATCAATCTCTCCATGCACACACTTACCAAAGCTGAAAAATCTACCCTTTCTAAAGGCCCTTATTTCTGCCTGGAAAAATACCCTAATAATATACTACAATGTGGAGAACTAGAAGAATTTTTCCAATGCCTCCATCTCAAAGAATATTTCCACAACCAAAATTAATCAATTTCCAATAAGACTTTATCTTTTGACACATTGGCAACATGTAGGGGGTGCATGCGGGTGCACGTGCACCCGTTGAGATCGGCTGTGTACCCCCTGGAAGTGCCAGATGTGCAACCAGAAGCGCACTCCCAGTTTCACTGCTGGCTCGGCAATTGGCCACTAGGGGGAGCCTCCCTCCCCCATCGGTGATCTGGTGCCCACCCAGATTTGGGAGGCACCTGTCACTCATATTTTTACAACATTGAGGAAAAAATAAACCAACAAAAAATCAAAAAAAAATCAGATTGGACACCTCACGGTGGACAAAATTCAAACCTTAACCACTATGTTGACTGCTTCACATTTACCCACAGAACCTTGTCTGCCTATGTCCTTAGACTAATACAGCTACAACCAACACCCCTGACAAAAGGTTTTGTGCATTTGTTTCCCTCGGTTGTACTTTACTTGTGTTCAAGACTCCAACTCCAGCTTAATAATTGGAGTTGCAAAGCACAAAATAAAATTCATTCACATTATAGAATTACAGGATAAAAGTCTGGTCATATTGAAGTTAATGGAGCTTTTTTGCCATTGACTTCAACAGGAATTTCAACTATACAGATATATAACCTCATCTGAGTTTTTGCATATATGCCAGAGAATTTCACTAAACAATTCCTGCACCAGGTCATAGTTTCATAGTTTCTAGGGTCAGAAGGGACCTGAGCAGAT